GTATTTAACATGACCAAGTACAAGAAAGGTAATTCTATATCTCAGCGCTTGAATTTAAGTTTGGACACAAAGGATGAAAGGGCTATGACCAACATTTCAATTTTTTTTGAGTGCTTTTCAAATTCATTTAACTGAATTGCTTGCCTTCTTCTCCATGAAGGGCACCAATTCATTTCCTCTTATATTATAGTTGGTACAAATAGTTAGTTCTAACACCTTGGCGAGCAATTTCAAGCTATTCCTTTTTCATGGTTTCTTTCTATTCATTCATTTGAATGTCATTTAGGGAACAAGCTTGTTTTAAATATTGATGCAACTAACTGTCCATTTTGGTATATGCTATTGTGCATCTCAGCCATTAGATACAAACTAAGAGAGGAAGTTGTAGATGAATGAACAATAGCTCCGGCAAAGAGAAAGAGAAACAGGTTTCAGTATCTACCAGTATGCAGCTAAACAATGATACAGAAACTATAGCAGAAGTTGTAAATGAATGAACAATAGATCAAACAAAGATAAAGAGCAACATATTTATTATACTTGTTGATGAGAGGCTTCGGAAAACTTACCCATTCAGGTTCTTCAGAGGCAATGACAGCCCGATACCTATTAACCTTAGTTTTGTATAATTAAGTCATGTCTTTCTTGTACATAAGTAAGGGAAAACAAAAATTTTGCAGGGTGTAGAAGGTAGAGAACATAGCTTGTTTTGATTTTAAATTTCTTAGGCAGATAAGCATTTTCACTTCAGGGCAACTTTTTGTCAAGTAGAGCTGCACACATTTTCTGAATTTACTCCTTAATGTTGGAATTTCTCCTTTTATTTTGGCAGTGGTATATCTTGATGCTGATACTATCGTAGTTAAGAGCATTGAAGATCTATTTAAGTGTGGGAAGTTTTGTGCAAATTTGAAACATTCCGAGAGACTAAATTCCGGAGTAATGGTGATTGAGCCATCGGATGAGGTTTTTAAGGATATGATGAGCAAGGTGACCACTTTGCCTTCTTACACTGGAGGTATGGTATTTCTGTTAACTGTTCAATTCTAAGATTATCTCCTCTCAGTCCAACCTTTTACTCTCGTTAGCTTTCATTGTGTAGTTTTAACAATAAAAGTCTTCCTATATTAGTGATGATTGTTGAAAATGTTTCTCTTTCTCCTGATGCATTCTTTTCTTGCTGACAGGTGATCAAGGTTTTCTGAACTCCTACTATGCTGGGTTTGCTAATGCGCGTGTTTATGAACCAAATCAGCCTTTAGATGTCCTAAATTCTAGAAAGGTCCCTGAAATGGAGAGACTTTCTACTCTTTACAATGCGGATGTTGGCCTTTACATGCTTGCTAACAAGGTTTGTCTTTTGAGTTCTTTTGCCTGTCGTGTGCTTAATGTTTTTTTTTTTTTTATAGGGGAGGGGTTTGGGGTGTGCTTTGGCTTTTGGATTGAATTTTTGAGAGAATAATTATTCGGATCTGGGAAGCAATGGCTTTAAATGGACTTCTTTTTTGCAACATGTGGTGTTTCAACTTTGCATTATTCCGTGGGCTTATTGTGGTTGCACAGTAAAATTATCTTGAAGAGACTACATTATGATGTACCATTCATGTTTTATCATTGGAAGCTACTGTGGTTTTGTTTGCTTAATTTCATGCCTACCAAGTATCAACAATTCTGCAATCTTATTGATACATATTACAATATCCTATACAAAGAAGAACTATGCCAAGAAATTATATGGTCTGGAGTGGAGAAAGTTGAACCATAAGTCCATAACCATTTAAGGAAATGTTTTGTGACAAACACATGGTGTAATAGAAGTCGGTAAAAAGGAAGTCTTGAATGGAAGGAACAGGTAAGAGGTTCATGAGAAAATAAATTTGAAAATTTCATCTTTGATAGAAAAGGTAAACTTTAGAGTATATGGTTAGAACAGAAATGTCTTAGCTGCAAGAGCTAGATTTTCCTTAAATCCATTTTAATTTGTCCTTCCTTGCTCTGACTTTTTTTTGCTTTGATATATTTGTAGTGGATGGTTGATGAGAAAGAACTCCGAGTTATTCATTACACACTGGGACCACTTAAACCATGGGATTGGTGGACATCTTGGCTGTTAAAACCTGTTGACGTATGGCAGGTATTTTTCTTCTCCATCATACTCTAGTCACTGCCTGCAGTCATTTTACATATATCCTATATAGGGGTGTCAAATGGGCGGGTTGGACTGGATTTGAGCGAGTCAAAATGGATTGAGTTGATAAATGGGCGGGTTATTGACCCACCCAAAAGTTACTTGGGTTGAAATGGGCTAAAAACCACTCCATAACCCGCCCCGGCCTATTCTTACTAAATTTGATATTCTTTGTTTGTTTTCTTGTAATTTGTTCAAGTACCTACTAAGCTTTTTTCCCTTATATTATGCTTGTATATAACATATCAAATAAAAAAAAAATCTTTTTAAAAATTTAGATAGTTTCTCATCGATCAATTTGGCTTGCATATCTGCCAGTTTCTACATTGGGCTGAATTAAGCGGGTCAAAATGGGCTGAGTCAATAAAATAAGCGGGTCATTAACCCACCCAAACCTAAGCGGGTTTCACGGATCATGATTTTATGGGCTGAGTTTGCCACCCCTAATCCTATATTTTACTTCCCAGCTAACATGATCCACGGCTCTGTCTCCTTATCCAACTAAACCCCATTTTTGTGCACTTGGCTGCTTCCATCTTGGAGATGACATCACAAGTTGTATATTAGTGTGCAAGAGAGGATTTTGCTCAAGTATCTCTAACAACTGAATGACCTTATGTTCGCTCATCTGCAGAATGTTAGGGTACGTCTTCAAGAATCTCTACCTGGAACTGGAGGGGGTAAAAATCCTAGAGATGAACTTCTTGTCAAATTTCTGTTTCTGGTTCCATTGCTTCTGATGGTAATTTCTTACTATAAGTCATGTTTACAGGTCAGCAATTTTAAAACCATTTCACACTTTGATAGGTGTCAGCATTTAAAGTATCTTTCGTATTGAAAAATGATTGCTGTCTGCAGACACGATCGCTATTTGACCACATTAGACAGCTGTACTACAAGATCAGAGCTGGAGGTGTCCTAGCTTATTCTTCTGTTCCTTCATCCACCATTCTTTCAGATCAGCAGGTATCTCTGCCCCTTCCTGTCAATTTTGGAACTTTGACGTCCTTTTTTTTTATTCACTAATGTGCTAAGGGTCTATCGGAAATAGCCTCTCTATCTCCGAAGATAGGGGTAAGGTCTGCATACACACTACCCTCTCCAGACACCACTTGTGGGATTACACAGGGTATGTTATTGACGTCCTGTTTTCTGCTCTTTCCCTTTCTAATCTGAATGAGATTTCGAAATAATGAATCGCCTCTCACGTCTTGGAGAATAGCTTTCAGTTATATTTCAAGCATGCCATCTTTTGCTTGCAAAGTTGTTATGTTTTTCAATTCATGATAAGCTTAAATAGCTTGTTCTTAGATGATATTAAAATGAAACAAATTCACAAATTGTTTGCAGCCGAAGGTGCCTGCTTTTCTGGGTGGGATTTCTGTATGTGTCTGTTTTGCTGCTGTTCTGGTGTCTCTTGGGCTTTCACTTGTAATTATCCCCCGCCAAGTAATGCCGTGGACTGGTCTTCTCCTGATGTACGAGTGGACGTTTACACTTCTCTTCCTTCAGTTTGGAAGTTATTTGTACTTAGTTTATCAATGGGGAAAAGCTGTGGCAAATCAAGCTGGACAATTTCGGGCAGATTCTACATCTTTGGACCATGAATCTGGAAAAGGTTGGTCGACGTAAGATCAGTAGTTTTCGTTTTACTAAATTTGAGGTACAGTTTTTCATTGGCGTTTTCTTGCCTTGTAGGTCATCAGCGGCAGCAATCATATTGTGACATTGCTGCGTGCTACTATGGGTTAGGGATGGCATTTCTCGCAATTTTAGCCCCCGCATTGCCTAGTATTTTCGGAATCACTGCTTTGTTTTTGAGGTACTTCTGATATTTCTTTTTCCCGCATTTCAAGCAATTCACTGTGCTTTACATATCATCTAATAGTTGTGTGGTCTGAATGACACAACACTATTTAGTGTTTACTTGCCTCGAATCATGGTTTTGTTAAAAAACTTGCATGTTTTCTCTGAGAAATTGTCTTAAGTTAGGAGCTTGAATTTAGTATTCATATATGGCATGCCGAAGTCCATTGCAACATCATGATTCAAACAGATTTCCGCATGAATAAGGAACAATTTGTTTGAAGGGGATTCTCTTGAGACCATTGGATGAGCACAATAACAATGAATATTGTGTAATCCCACAAGTAGGGTCTGGGGAGTTTGGTGTGTAAGCAGCCTTACCCCTACCTTGTGTAGGTAGAGTGACTGTTTTTGACCAAATGATGAGCACATTTGAATAAAAAGATGAAAATTAGATATTGCGAATAAGACAGTTATGCCCCCGAAAAAGAAAATATATCCATTATCCAGAGTAGTCAGATCATTTTTTGGTTAATAAACTTAAAAGATGGTTTACAGTAGTCACCATTTTGGTTTAACTTTATACTTTCATTTCCCTTAGAGTTAACAGTATTGAAGCCCTCAGAGTAGTGCAACTCTGACACACTGTCATTTATAAACCATTTGCTACAACTGGCTTCACACGGATGTCCTTCTAGTGCATTCTTAACTCTCACCTATGTTGCTCGGATCCTCCAAACTGCCGCTACATCTGTTTCAGTACACATGTCATCTGGCACTGGAAAATCTTGAACTTTATGCTTGATTCTATGTGTTTCTCTACTAATTAATAGTCAAATAACTCTCGTATATATTTTTCACCCACAGGTTAGGTTTGATGGTCGTTGGAGGCCTTGTTTTGTTGTCGTTCATGACATATGCTGCGGAGCATCTATCGATAAGATCGTTTACGAGGGGATTTGAAGAAAAAGATATGCACAGGAGTAGAAGTATATGTTTCTTGTGCTGATTGTGGCATATTCAGGTATCAGCCACAACTAATTCAAGCTCTTTTTCTTGCATTGGCAATTCTTTTTGACACTAATGTGTAGAATATGTTAGTTTTTTTCTTCTTCTGGATTTCACAGTTTCTTATTTTAGAAAGATTTGAGTGTAATTCTTTGTAAAGTGTATGTATATGATTGTTAAAATCTAACTAATGTTAGAATATCTGATGTTCTTTTCATGTTCTCAAGCATTGTTGATAATTTACTTTGAGAAAAAACAGTTGGACAAGTAGAGAAGGATCTCCACCGATAGCCGGCCTGTCTATCTATTGGATGGGGTTTCCTCGATCTACACAAATTTTCAAGATTGTGACTTAGTGGCCAATGAAGCGGTTGAAAATCATAGAAGATAAAGGTCCAAATCTTGAAAAGACAAATAATGCTGATGATATCTTTCCATGTCTTGGTGTGCAGAGTTACCATATATTTGTGTTGGTGGGAGGTAGAAGTATTTGATGAAATAGTTGAAGTGCGCAACACCGTTGTACAGAAAAATTGGAAATGCTTATGTCACAACCCAAAAATCGGACGTGATGGTACCTATCTCATTCCACCAAGACATGTCAGTCTAACCAACCCTCGACAAGGTAAAAGCGGAAGTAAGAATGAAATTATGTACTAAACATAACATAAGCATGCAAAACTCATAACATAACACAATCTTTTCTAAAATATGGTGTCACATGTACAAGTCTCTAAGTAGTACAATTGATTCAAAAGAAATACAAGTCTGAATGTTTTTATATATTAAGTAGATCAAGGGCATAATAAAGAGTAAGTGATGTCTGTTGTGATGACAACAACTACCTCTCGAACTCCAGAAGCAAAGTTTCGGACGAAAATGTGAGAGGATGATCAAGACAATCCGAGCTTGTAACCTACACAAGTGTAGAAAACAAGGGAGTGAGTACCAAAACAATAACGGTATTCAACAAGCATCCCAAGTTAACAATTTCACAAGTAATGGAACAACACAATGTCGATAATACACCATAAATCACATATCAAAGTTTCCATAACATCATCACATTCTTTCATATTCAAATAATCACGAACATAACACTTATTCATCATAAAAAAAAAATTCAAATTTTTTTTGGGTGCTCCAAGGCGCCAGATACATGTGCTAATACACACGAAAAATTAAAAAATCGGCTAATTCCTAAAAGTTGGCTCGTAAATACGAAACTATGCCTTAAAAAATAGTGGGACTATACACAATGCTTCCCTAACTCATTACGGAGGTCTTCATAAAGGTTTCTCAGAAATTCTTTTTCGGTGCTCCAAGGCGCCAGATCCATAATCTATCAACAAAGTCGCGTAGTTCCTAAAAGTTGGCTCGTAAATACGAAAATACACCTTAAAATGAATGCTCCCCCACCTCATTACGGATGTATTTATAAAAATATTTAAGAATTTTTTTTGGGTGTACCAAAGCGCTAAATCTATGAGCTAATACACACGAAAAATGAAAAAAAATATATCATTATTTCCCGTTTCGGTCTTCATTTGAACTTGAAAATGCCAACGGCTGCCTTTCTGAACAAAGACGTGCCATTAAATAGGTCGTCACAAGCGCCTACAAAAAATTTCACCCCAAAAATCGTCGGGCGCACATATCATCTAAAATTCATGAATTACAACACACGAAAAATTGAAAAATTCATATTTTCCTTTTCGAGCCTCGTTTGAACTTGAAAATGCTGACGTTTGCCTTACTAAACAAGCACACACCATTAAATAAATAATTACGGAGGTCCTCATAATGTTTTTCAGAATTTTTTTTGGGTGCACCAAGGTGCAAAATTCACGGGCCAATACAAACGAAAAATAAAAAAAGTCGATTAATTGGTGATACGGGATCCCGACTTGTGTTTGGTCGAGTTTTTTCATGGACGTTCGTTATGACCTTATTAATGGTGTGAGTTGATCTCGATAGGCAAACAAACGCATTTTCAAGTTCAAACGACCCCCAAAGCGGGAATAACCGAATTTTACCATTTTTCATGTGCTATAGTCCATGGATTTTTGGTAATACAAGATCCTGACTTGTTTTTTGTCAAATTTTTTCATAGACATCCGTTACGACCTTTTTAATGGCGTGAGTTGGTCCCGATGGGCAAGCATATGCATTTCAAGTTAATACAAGCCCCAAAGCGAGAAAAACTGAATTTTATCATTTTTCGTGCGCTCAATCCATGGATTTTCGGTGATACAGGATCTTGTTTTGTTTTTGGCCGAAATAATTCAAGGACACCCGTTACGACCTTATTGTTGGCGTGGATTGGTCTCGAGGGGTAAACATACACATTTTCAAGTTCGAACGAGCCCAAAGCAGGAATAACCGAATTTTACCTTTTTTGTGTGCTCTAAAAAAACCTAATAAAGACCTCCGTAGTGAGTTGGGGAACCACCATGTATACTCACACCATTCTTTTCACGTCATTTATGTATTTACATGCCTTCTTTTAGAAATTACCCAAATTCTTCGATTTTTCGTGTGTTATAGCCTATAGATCTGTCGTAGCGGAGGACCCAAATTTTTTTTACTTGAAAAAAGTTTATGAGGACCTCCGTAATGAGTTGGAGAACCACTACGTATACTTACACCATTTTGCACCCCAATTTACGCATTTACAGTCTCTTTTTTAGAAATTACCCAATTTTTCGTATGTTATAGCCATGGATCTGGCGAACCTAATAAAGACCTCCGTAGTGAGTTGGGGAACCACCATGTATACTCACACCATTCTTTTCACGTCATTTATGTATTTACATGCCTTCTTTTAGAAATTACCCAAATTCTTCGATTTTTCGTGTGTTATAGCCTATAGATCTGTCGTAGCGGAGGACCCAAATTTTTTTTACTTGAAAAAACTTTATGAGGACCTCCGTAATGAGTTGGGGAATAACTACGTATACTCACACCATTTTTTTCACGCCCATTTCTGCATTTACATGCCTTTTTTAAAAAAAATTCTTAAATTCCCCAATTTTTCGTGTGTTATGGCCAATGGATCTGATTCCCCGGAGTACCCAAATTACTTTTTCTCAAAATTTTTTATGATGACCTCCTTAATGAGTTGGGAAACTACCACGTATACTCACATCATTTTTTTCACGCCCATTTTTGCATATACAATGCTATTTTTAGAAATTACTCAAATTTCTCGATTTTTCATGTGTTATAGCCCATGGATCTGGCGCCTCGGAGCATCTAAATTTTTTTCTCAACAAACTTTATGAGAACCTCTGTAATAAGTTGGGGAACCACCACGTATACTCACACCATTTTTTTATGCCCATTTTCACATTTACATGCCTTTTAAAAAAATTTTACCTAAATTTCGTAATTTTTTGTGTGTTATAGCCCACAAATCTGGCTCCCCTAAGCACCCAATTTTTTTTTTCTCAAAAAACTTTATGAAGACCTCTGTAATGAGTTGGGGAACTACTACGTATACCCACACCATTTTTTCTTCATGCCCATTTTTGCATATACAGTCCCTTTTTTTAGAAATTACTCAATTTCCCCAATTTTTTGTGTGTTATATCCCATGGATCTGGCGCCCCGAAATATCCAAATTAATTTTCTCAAAAAACTTTATGAGGACCTCCTTTATGAGTTGGGGAACCACCACGTATACTCACATCATTTTTTTCACGCCCATTTTCGCATTTACATGCCGTTTTTTAGAAATTACCCGAACTCCCTGATTTTTTGTGTTATGAATCTGGCGCACCGAAGCACCCAATTTTTTTTTCTCAACAAACTTTATGATGACCTCTGTAATGAGTTGGGGAACCACCACGTATACTCACACCCTTTTTTTCACGCCCATTTTCGCATTTACATGCCTTTCTTTTTTATAAACTACCCAAATTTAGTAATTTTTTGTGTGTTATAGCCCACGGATCTGGTGCCCCCAAGCACCCAATTTTTTTTCTCAAAAAACTTTATGAGGACCTCCGTAATGAGTTGGGGAACTACCACTTATAATCACACAATTTTTTTCACACCCATTTCCCTATTTACATGCCCTTTTTTAGGAATTATCCAAATTTTCCGTTTTTCCGTGTGTTATATATAGCTCATAGATCTGGCGCTTCGGAGCACCTAATTTTTTTTTATCAAAAACATAATGAGGACTTCCGTAATGAGTTGGTGAACCACCACGTATACTCAAACCTTTTTTTTCATGCCCATTTCTGCATTTACATGCCCTTTTTTAGAAATTACCCAAATTCCCCGATTTTTCGTGTGTTAAAGCCCATGGATCTGGCGCCCCGTAGTGCTCAAAAATATTTTCTCAAAAAATTTATGAGGTCCTCCGTAATGAGTTGGGGAGCAACCACGTATACTCACACCATTTTTTTCATGCCTATTTTCGCATTTACATGCCATATTTAGAAATTACCCAAATTTTCCCATTTCTTGTATGTTATAGCCCATGGATCCGGCGCTCAGAGCAACCAAAATTTTTTTCTCAAAAATCTTTACGAGGACCTCAGTAATGAGTTGGGAAACCATCACGTAAACTCACACTATTTTTTTACTCCCATTTTTGCATTTACATGCCTTTAGAAATTACCAAAATTTTCCGACATGTTTAATATCCCATGGATCTTACGTCTTAGGGCATCCAAAATTTTTATCTCAAAAAACCTTATGAGGACCTCTGTAATAAGTTGGAACCACCACGTATATTCACACCATTATTTTCATGCCTATTTTAGCATTTACATGCTTTTTTGAGAAATTACCCAAATTTCCTGATTTTTCGTGTGTTATAGCCCATGAATTTGGTGCCTCGGAGCACCCAAATATTTTCTCTAAAATTTCATAAGGACTTCCGTAATGAGTTGGAGAACCACCACGTATACTCACACCATTTTTGTCACGCCTTTTTTCGCATTTGCATGCTCTTTTTTAGAAATTACCCATTTTTTTTGATTTTTCGTGTGTTATAGCTCATGAATCTGGCACCATGGAGCACCCAATTTTATTTCTCAACAAACTTAATGAGGACCTCTATAATGAGTTGGCAATCACCACGTATACTCAAACCTTTTTTTTTCACGCATATTTTCGCATTTACATGCCCTTTTTTAGAAATTTCCCAATTTTTTGTGTGTTATAGCCCATGGATCTGGCGCCCCTAAGCACCCAATTTTTTTTTATCAATTTTTTTTTATGAAGATCTTCGTAATGAGTTGGGGAACCACCAACTATACTCGCACCATTTTTTTCACGCCCATTTTCGCATTTACATGCCCTTTTTTAGAAATTATCCAAATTCCTAGATTTTTCGTGTGATATAGCCCATGTATGTGGCGCTTAGAGCAGCCAATTTTTTTTTTCTCAAAAAAAATTATGAGAACCTGTGTAATGAGTTGGGGGAACCACTAAATATACTCACACCATTTTTTTCACGCCCATTTCCACATATACATTCCCTTTTTTTTTAGAGATTACTCAAATTTCTCGATTTTTCGTGTTTTATAGGCCATGGATCTGACGCTCGGAGCACCTAACAATTTTTTCTCAAAAAAGTTTATGAGGACCTCCGTAATGAGTTGGGGAACCACCACGTATACTCAAAACAATTTTTTTTCACTTTTATTTCAACATTTACAAGATTTTATTTTTTAGAAATAACCCAATTTCCAATTTTTCGTGTGTTACATAACCCATGGATGTGGCGCCCCGGAGCATCCAAATTTTTCTTTTCAAAAAACTTTATAAGGACCTCCGTAATGAGTTGGGGAACCACCACATATACTCATACCATTTTTTACACTACCATTTTTGCAATTACATGCCTTTTTTTTTTAGAAATTACCCAATTTTTCTGATTTTTCGTGTGTTATAGCCCAT